TTAACACCGCTATCTCTGTGCAGCCCCTGACAGTAATGTTGTTGCTTCTGCCCTGTTCTCAGCGCAGCCGACGTTATTAATGACCAGATATGCAAATTTCGTATGCCTGGGCATTAGACGCTCATTGGCTTATCTCCACCTATCAGCTGCGAGCCCGCCTAACAAGCGTCGCTATTGGTTGGGAATTGTGTGTGTTCTATCTTCGCTGAGTGTGTAACTTGTACAGGCTGCTCGTAGCCTCTCTCACGGGAACGAGACATCACAGTGGTCGCCGTGTTCGCTACTCGATCAGCTAAAGCTGCGTTCAGTATCAGATTCTGACGTAATTGTCGCGTGCACCGCATTTTATACTGCCGCTCGAGCTTGTCAGTATTTGCATGCGATTTGCATACTTCGCGTCAATTGTCCGTTGCTTTGGAGTGGCGGGAGCCAATAGGACTTCAGGAAAGGTTGGAAGGGAAGGAGTTCCCATAACAGAGAAATATCTCTGTGATGTCTCGTTCCCGCTCTCAGGGAACCGAGGTTACGATAGTAACAGGAGCGTTTTCTATATTAATATACATTAAAATACAGTTTATTTCTGTGATGCAAAGCTGAATCTTCAGTGTCACATGATCCTTTAGAAATTATTCTAATATGCTGATTTCTTATTGTGCTGCTTAATTATTATTTTTTTGGAACCTGTGATACATTTTCCAGGATTCTTTCATTAATAAAAAGTTAACAAGAACACCATTTATTATATAGAATTATATAGAAATCTCAAAATAGAAAACATACTATTTCTTTAGTATTAATTTCTTTCAAAAAAAAAAAAAAAGAAGAAAAAAAGGGTTTTACTGAACCCAAACTTTAGAAAGGTGTGTTATATTGTTACAAAATATATATAAAAAAAGAGATTATAGATTTCTATAGTATTGGTTTTTTTTCTGTATTTTTGATCAAATAAATGCAGCCTTACTCTGCTCCTACATACACACACACACACACTGTGTGTATCTTATATCTAATTATCTTATATTTGACTATGAATAGCGTATAATTCTAATTAGTAAAAGTTTATATCATAATCAATTTATCTTCATACTTTGAGCTGTCAGTGTAAACGTGTCAATAAAGGAGAAGCTGAACAGAACAACAATATTGAACGCTGTTTTTCTTAGACTGGGAACCTTTACAGGCTCTCATTACAGAGATGATTTACATATATCCACAGATGAAGACATGAGAGCACATGTGTGAGCTTGTGTGTATAGCACAGAACAAGAGCTTGCAGCATTTGAGAAGATCTGAAGGTTGTCTATTATCTGTTCTCAGAGCAGTGAGCTTGCACATCTCTCCAATTCTCATGAATGTAATTGACCTTTTTTCTGTAACGCAGCTGAGATGGTGGCCATGGGGGGGCGGGGGGATGGGGGGGGGCAGTGACATAGAGACTACACACCAGCCAAGCAAAGTTAATTGTCCAGCTGAACAATAACGCAACGGAGACAGCAGATATGAAAAGGGCATTCAAATCAATAGATCGACAATAGCCTTTCCGAAAAGATGGCTGAACTCAATTTTCTGGCCACAGACACCCTCTAAGCTCCAAACACACTGCAACCCCCCTTTAAGTCTATGACAGTGCCCAAACCTCTTTAACTGACAGAGATTTTTATGTTTGCAATGCTTCTTTTTCTTGGTCTTCCTTTTTACTTCTTTTTCTTTTCAATAATTTACATTTATATACTGTAAAATTGTGTTTATATATACATATATAGGGACCAATTACCAATTCTCACTATTAACTAGTTGCTTTTTTAAGCATGCCTATTATTAACATACTGGCTGTTTATTAGTACTTATAAAGCACATATTCTGACCATATTCTACATCTCTAATCCTACCTAATACCTAAACCTAACAACTACCTTACTAACTATTAATAAGCAGCAAATTAGGAGTTTATTGAGCATAAGTTGTAGCTAATGATTTGTTAATAGTGAGAATTGGACCTTAAAATAAACTGTGACCACATTTTTATATATAATAAAAAAAAAAATTTATATAATTTTTATTTTTACAATTATTTTATCAATTTTTTATTTTATTCACATATAGTATTTATACATTATTATTGTTTTTATTTAAAATATTTAGATTTAAAATACAAATTAAACATATTTCAAATGTATTAAAACTATACTGTTTAATAATTTAATTTAAGTTTTAAAATGTCCTTGTGATATTGTTTCAGTGTTTGCCATTTAAAAGCAAACCTGCAATGATGATGTCATAATTACTTATGAATAATGAATTGTGATTTGTCTACTTTCTTGCATTTATCTGTATACTGAATTGTTATTGGTCTCTTTTTTTCTTGCATATATTTAACCATTTAGCTGCCTTTCCACTGGAAAAAAAAAGTTATTTATTTTTGTGCACAGCTGACAGAACACAAGACACATATTGAGTATCATAATGGTTATAAAAATCATTTAATTTACACAAAACCACATAGTAAAACCCAGCACTAGGACTTTCTTCAAATCTAGCTCTTTTATTAAAGTAAAACTTTACCAATTATTTTAATGCATATCCCAGCACAAGTATTTCCTTCAAATGTAGTCCTTTCATTCTAGAATTCCTTCATCCCTTTTTTTCCGCCATGTACGTAGTGTTTAGTTTGCGTTCTGCATTGAGATGGGAACGGTGGGCGAGGCTAATCATTCTTTAGCTGTTCTGGCCTTAGAAAGGTCAGCTGTTTGAAATGTCAGGCTTCAATGGAGCCAGATTCACATCGTGCTGCTCAAGTGTCCAATTAAAGAGGGTCTGGCAGGGGTTGAGTGGGAAGCACTCTTCACGCAGGAGAGCTAATGAGGGGGCCAGGGCACCGAGACCCCCTCGGCACTGATCTACAGGGCCTCATGCAGAGCGGCAGGTTCCAACACTCGATGTACTCCGAAAAGACCTCCAAGGGCACCGGGAAGGACACGGCTTGATCTCATTAAGGTCTATGGATACATGTATGTTCATTTTTATCATCCCTCTCTCACATATACTCACACCTATGTAATATGTGGATAGGTCAGTGCGTCCTGTTGCTGTATCTGCCTCAGTCATCAAAGAATGCAAGCTGCTTTCCATATAGCAGGAAAACAAGTTTCCGTCACACTCTGCATGGACAAACACAGGTCAGAGGTCAGTGTAGTCGCATATACACTTTCCACACAGAATCCTAATAAGCAGCCGGGCTGTGGGAAGACAGGGACGGACAAGCTCATTTACAGCGGCGATTCTTCATTTACAGCAACTAAAATACCCCGTTCACCTCATCAATAAGTCATTAGGCCCATCTGTAGCCCAGTGATCTACTACCGGTTTACTAGTTGTTCTTTCAACGGTTAGTTTTAATAACTGCATTCGGGAAGTTCTAGATCAGCAAAAAGCGCAACGGCTCTCCAGAGCCCCTCTGCAGGCTGCTTGTGCACAATTGTTGAGTTTTTATGGAGAAAAAGTAGATTTTACTACTCGCTGAAATCAGCAAAATTACCCTCCCAAAATGGCAAGGGCTATAGAGTGAGGGGGGGGGGGGGTCACTTTCTTTATATAAGCCGAAACGAGGTAAGCTAAAAACCATGTTGCACTGTGCATGTCTTTTGTGAAGTTGTGAAGGTCAGCGGTACAGTCTTGTGTGGCTTTGGGTAACAGATGCTGAGCAACGCTGGGAAAATTAGTCTACTCCACGTGCCTTACATAAAAATTATTTTAATCAAAGTGTATTAGAGCAGCCAGATATTTTAGACATATGGGGGGTGCATCCTTCCTGGCTACCCCATCTGTCTCTCCCAGAGCTCTGAACGCAGTTTCAGCTTTCACCCAGATGAATTGACAAAACATTCAGCTTCCCATAGAGATGCAAAAGCGTAGGCTGTACCCGCTGCTCTGGGACAGGCACGGCCAGGGTGCAACGACAGGATCGCGGAAATGCTGACAAGTCGCAGGAAAAGGCCTCTTTTTGCAGGTTTTTGCTCTTGGGGTGCAGCTGATGCTTGTTGTGAGAAGTAAGAGAAGTCACAAAGCCCTCACAACCAACACTTGTGAACAAACTATCCTGTCCGTAAAGCCCCATGTAAGTATTCAGTGTTGTTGCGTGGTGTGCTGTGCAGTGAATAACAAACATGCATGCACACAAACCAAAATGCGTATACTCACCGGGGTTGGTGATGGTCAGAAGATCCAGCCTTGCTGAAAAAGAAACAAAGAGACTTCAGAGGTCTTCTGTCAGAAAGATGAAACAGATCCAGTCTGAGATATTTTTTCTTTTTTACTCAGAAATCAAAGTTTGTGCTGTCTGCCTGTTAAGCACATTTTGCTCTCTATCTCTCTCTGGAGACATAAAAGTGTGTCATGCATTTTACATCAATTTTATGTATATACAGAGCATATATAACACTCTAAAAAACAGAATCGTTCTAAACTGATCTAAACAAACAAACAAAAAGAAATACTGTATTTCTACAGTAAAAAAACCATGTATTTCTACGGACATGTTTGTTGTAGAAAAAGTACATAGAAAAGGATAGATTTTTTTGCAATAATATATAAATCTTTCAAGTCCTACATTGAGCTCCAAGGTAAAAATTAAAATGTGTTTAATAGCTGAATTCCCAGTTAAAAAGTATATTACCCAGAATTCTTATGAGTGATCCACCAATCAGAGATCTTTTGTTTACCATGGAATTTTTAAATTATTCTTATTAAAATCTCCAGAGAACAAAATTACCGGAAAAATGCTCTCTGGACCAAGATATCATATCATTTAATATACGTTAATACATTCTATATTAATTATATATTAATATGCACGCGCACACACACACACACACACACACACACACACACACACACACACACACACACACACACACACACACACACACACACACACACACACACAGGTATACTTT